GAAAGACAATCTAATAACAATAAAAAAAATATATAAAAAAGGGTTAGCACTTTAAATTACTCGTGCGAACGACCATTTTACTATTAATTTTTTTACTTTATTTATGTTTGATAACTTTCATAAAGATACAGTATGCAACTTTTGTACACTGACGATAGTATTGAGAGATTTGAACACATATTAATTTTTTCTCATATAGACTATAATAATTTCTCTACTTTTTTACATACTGAAGCCAAAAATTTAAATCGGGGAAAAGATAATTAGAGATAAGCCGAAATTAAGCAATTAGATGCGATAACATCATAAACATTATAAAATGACCAATTATTGTTTTTTTTTGGACTAGTTTCAAAATGTTATTATAATTGTCATAGTGCATTTGAATCTAGTAAAAATTTTCAAGTTCTAATACTTAATAAAAATAAAAATAAAATAAAAAAAGCAAATTTTCAATGAATCAATCAGCAAATTCTCAAACACTTTTATTTATTCAAGCATAATATTAGTTATTAATTACAATTCTCAGAAATAAAAAATACATAAAGTTATATATAACACGGTTTAGCTAATTATAATTAATTATTGAATATCAATTTTCTTTCTAGATTCTTTATTTTCATCTTTTGGAATTTTGACTTCAAGAACACCGTGTTCAAATTTAGCAGCGATATCACTAGTTTTAGCGCTACGAGGAAGAGTAATAGCACGAGAGAAACTTCCATAACGACGTTCTTGAATATGTGCATTTCCTTCTTTATATTTTTCATCTTTTTTTGGTCTCACCAGAAATTACTAGCATATTTTCACGAACGTCAAGATTGATTTGTTCTTTGGTGACTCCCTATTTATATAAAATTAAATTAATTAAAATAACATTTAAATTTTTAAAAAATAAAAAATATAATGAAAATAGCTTACATACCGGTAACTCGGCACACACAGTAAACTCTTTTTCGCCTTCATGAATATCAAGAGGAATCCTACCGCTTCGTGTAACCGAATTATTAGATTGTCTTTCAATATTGAGATCCTTGAAGAAATCATCAAATAGGCGAGACATAGAATTTTCGAATTGCCCAAGTGTATAATCAGGCCAGTATAGAGACATTTTGATAGTGGTTATTTTTTTTTTGTTTAAAAAGCTATTAAATTAAACGCCATGATGCTACACTTTTTATTCTATAGCTAATTTTTGTAGATTCATTTTAATTCCAAATATAGGA